ACCTTGCAATGTGATTCCTTGGTCTGATGCGGCTGCCATAATTTCTTCCGAATTTTGCGTCATCACGAGTTTTGCTGAACTGAACAGAGGTGATGTGACTGGTGACCGACGGATCAGATGGACCGGACTGGTGACTGACGGATCTGATGAACCGATGAGCCTTTTTCTGTCTTGCCTCAGCAAAGGAGAACACTGGTTGCTCTGAACTGAATCTCCGAACCCTGAAAGAGAAAATAGGCAGCATCTTAGCCCAATCAATACATAGCTGAATAACTATATTCGACCACTGATCATTGTTCCCCAAATTATTGTCCCAAAACTAAATCTAATACCTGTAGATAACTGATTCCCAAAATACCGATACTGGTGCCTATATATTTTTAAATATTTTAATTTTTTTGTTATGTATTTGGTTACGATTTGAGTGTAGAGTTGTGAAAGTAATATGAAGTTTCGAGTTATGTGTTTGGTTATGAGTTTTAAAAATAATTTTTTAATTGAGTTTTGTTTTATGTGTTTACAATTTGAGTGTAGAGTTTTTTTAAATTTAAAATATTAACATTTTAAATTATTTCAACTTGTTGAATATTTAAATTTTTACGATTTAGATTTTTTCAATATTTATTTTAATTTTTTACTTATTAAATTTTTTAGATTATTTAAATTATTTAAATATTTATGATTTAAAATTTTTGAATATTTATTTTGAAAAAAAAATTATGTCTTTTGTAGTATTTTCAATTAAAAAATTGATTAATGTTATTTTCTATTAATAATAATTTTTTTAATTGAATTTTAAAAAGAGTTTGGTTATGAGTGTTGATCAGAATTTTCAATAGTGTAAAAGTAGTGTGTTTTGTTATGAGTTATAATAATTTGAATTAAGTTTTGAAAATTCTTTCCAAAATTCATAACCAAACAAATTTTCTTACTTCATATGTCAAATCAAACTTTCAAAACTCAATTTCATACTCAATTCAAAACTTAATTCAACACTCTATTCAAAAATCATAACTAAACAAATTTTCTACACTCAAATCATAATTTCACAACTCACAAACTCAAAATACAACTCATACTCTCAAATCATATTTACAAGATTCTACTAAATGCCACCTTTAACTTTTTGATATAAATTATTAATTTTTTAACTAAAACGATCATTTGTCAAACGAGGCGTTAGTGCTGCTGAGATCAAACTTGAAAATTTGACCCTATGACAGCTCCCGTGATTGACATCACATACTGCAACGCCTAAACCAACTTTTATTTATTTTTGAATTTTTTTATTCAATTTGTTGGATGTTGGGCTAGATGAAATAGGTTCATTTTGAGCCAACGTAATTAATTAGACGCACTTCTAATATGTCCGTGTATTTATTTTTGTTGCATTTGGTTGATTTTTTTAAATATGATTTAAAAATAAGAGTTATATTTTAAATTTGTGAGTTTTAAAATTATGATTTAAATGTAAAAAATTTATTTGGTGAATGAGTTTTGAAAAACGTTTTGAATTGAGTAAGTAATTTTTGATGTGACATATGATATTTGATACATAAATTTATAATTCATAACCAAACACATAACTCAAAATTCTATTCAAAATTCATAAAAAAAATTTAAAAATTCTGAATTTTTTTATTTAAAATATAAAAAACATGGGGCAATTGTAAAAAAAATTAAAAAAAATAATAATAATTTGCACTGTTCCGGTCAACCATCCAGATGTCTAAGAGAACGACCGGTTAGCCCAAATTTTTTCGTCTTGAGTAGAGTTTTCAAAAGTGAGTGTGAAATTAATTTTTAAAAATTATAAACAAACACCACGTGAAACCCAAAAAGTGAAACTAAAGTCTCAAAATTCTACCAAACAGAGCCTTTCTTGTTCAAAGATGCACTTCGTCACTGGTTGAACATGTGAATAAGTAGTGAAAATTAAATTAGCACCTTAATTTTTGACTGATATGGTCTCTATTAATTGTTGCAATAGAGTCATGTTATGAGAAAGAAATTATTTAACATGTTAGTCCTTTCTTCTTTTTTAAAAGCATACATTTTTTTTTTTTTTTTCATAAATATAGTGAACTCACTTGTTACCAGAGATTTGTCGATTCTACAATTTGTTAGACTGTTGTGAAACTCACAAAGCTCTCATCTTATCCAGTGCATTGAACAGACGTTTTCATTAGAGAAAACAATGGAAAATGATTTGGAGCCCTAAAAAAGCTCCTCCTAATCCCCTAATCCCCAAAACGACATTGTTTTGGAGAATTTTTTTTTTTTTTTTTTTTTTTTTTTTTTTTTTTTTTTTTTTTTCTTAAAATGGAATTTCGGGGCATTCGAGCCCCGAAATCTCGGTTTACATCCAATCTCAACAATCCATTTCTGAAATAGGCTGAAAATCAGGAATGTCAAAATTATCAAACCCAATCAACTTGTTTGGTTATGATTCACTTTTCAAAAAAATTAAATTTTTTTTTAATTTTTATATACACTTAAATAAATACATTTAAAAAGTATAATATTTGTGATTTTTTAAAAAAAATTCACTAAATATCAAAAATATTAAAAAAAAATATAAGAATTCAGTATATTTTTATATTCTTATGTATTTATTGATTTTTTAAAATATTTTTTTAATGAATATTTTAGTTTTTAGAAACATCTAAGTAAGGCACATATAAAAAAGTAAAAAATTACTTAAAATTTTAAAAAATTTCACTAAAAACAAAAAACAAAAAAAATGAAAATAAAAAACTAAATTTTTTAAAAATTAAGTGTAGAAAATTGAAATCAAATACAGTGATTCTTGTATTTATTTCAACTTAATTTTAATAAAAAAAATTTGGAAGATTATTGGTAGGGTAGAGTGTAGTATAAGAACAAACAGATAATATCAAAATTAAAGTAAGATATAAAATTATATCATTAAAATAATAGAATTTAAAATTAAAATTTCATATGTATTATTATAATTAAACATTTTTTAACAATCAATCAATCAATCAACCAACTTATAGAAGGTTGGTTTAATAGTAGACTTCAATTAATTTTTTCAAAAACCTTGTTCAGTTTCATTAGGGTGGTGGAAAATATCGTTCAATTTGTTAAAATTGCACTGATTCATATTAATTCGTATCGCTTTAACTGTTAATCGCAATTTAAACTTTAAAATTTATAATTTGCTAATCGAACCGCTCCGCTTCGTTATAATTAATACATATATTTTTTTTTAACTTTTAATAAAATGTCAATATAAAAATGAGTGTGAAAAAGATTTAAGATATGAAATTTATTACAAATTAGTGGTTATATATATGAAATATATTATGTAAAATTACTTTGTAATATATATTTAAAAAATATTATACAAATTAGTGTTATATATTATACAAATGTATGATAATTGGTTAGAATATTCTTCAATCTGTCAATCCATCAAAAACTGTCCAAACTAAAATTTGTCAATTCATTAATTTACTAATTCGCTATTCAATTTGTAATTTTACTCTTAAACCGCCTGAACCACTACACCCCCTTAGGCCTCGTTTGGAAATATGTTTTTTTTAATAATTTTTTGACTTTTTGGCTAAAATGTGATGTAAAAAAAACTACTCCCTCTGTCACAAAATAATGGTCCATTTTTGGGAATCCAACTTTTTTTTGGTAGTACAATTATTGCATTCAAAAAAAAGTTAATTTTTCAAAATTACCCTTTTAATAGTATATTTTTTGGGAATATCAATTTCATAATTGTACTTTTTATATTGTTTATTAATTTAAAAGAATGGCAAAATAGAAAATTTATATTATTTTTGTACTTGATTTTTTAAGAGGGACTTATATTTTGGGACAATGAAAAATAAAATAAGGGGCTAATATTTTGGGACGGAGGGAGTAGTATGTTTGGGATGACTTTTTGACTTTTTACGAAAAGAGATGCATAAAATAGAGAGAAAATAGACTGTTTGACCTTTTGATATGAATTGTTGATTTTTTTATTTTTTTTTGTGACTTTTTAATTTTTTTGGGCTAAAATAGCCACTTGGCAAACAAGGCCTCAGATGCCATTTCCAACGAAAACCGGAAAAAGAAAACGGATTCGGTTCGAAACCTGAACATTGGGCCACTTGCCCCAAACCCGAAAATCTAATCAATTCATTCACTCCAGTCCATGGGAAAACACTGGAGCTTCTCCAGGCCTATGAAAATTCTAGGGTTTCCATAAACCTCAGTCTCAGCTCGCTCGCCAATGGCGTTAACAGGAATTGCTCTTCAACTCAGACCCAAACACAGAACAATTCAAAACCCTAGTTTCATCCACTTCTTCTCATCTTCAACCTCCGACTCCAATGTCGAAGATCAAAACACTCCGTCTTCATCACCATCACCATCACCATCACCGTCACCGTCACCGTCACCGTCACCATCACAATCACAATCACAATCACAATCCCAATCCCAATCCCAATCCCAATCTTCCTTCTCTTCGTATTTCAGCGATGTCAAGGCCAGTCTCAAACAACAACAATCTCCACAGCAACAATATCGACAACAACCTAGCAAGTACTCTCTCTCCTCTCCTAAAACCCCCTCAAAGGTCGCTTCTTTGGAAGAAATCCGCAAGAACCTCTCCGAGTTCCGCCGTCGCTCCGCCGTGCCGACGCCGGGGGACAAGTCGTCGTCGTCATCTCCGCCTCTTCCGCCGTCTCAGCCCATCTCGTTTCAGGAGCTTTACAAGCGAAATGTGATATCCAAAGGCGAAAATTCCACCAACGAAGCGAGTTTAAGGGGGAGGTACTCGTTCGATGCCATTCGCGAGAGCTTGAAGCAGCTCCGATCGAACGCTGAGAAGAACAATCAAGTCAGCATTAACGATCCGATGTCGCTTTCGAAGTTCAAGGAGAGTTTCAAGTTGCGGCCTGTTGATCCGAATGCGAGGGACTCGACGGTTATGATTGGGGGGAGTGATGAGCTTCCGGCGTCGGTGTTTGCGAGGGAGATGAGGGAAAAGAAGGAGCCAGAGTCACCTGCGATGAAGACGGAGTTTGTGAAGAGTTATTCTCAAGAGGAGTTGGGGATGAAGTTGAGGAAATTGAGGCCGGAAGCTAAGACAGAAAATTGGTTTTCATTGGGGGAGTTGAATGAGAGGCTGATGAAGTTGAGAGAGATGGAGGAGAAAGAAACAGAGTTGAAAGTTGGTGGTATTTCCTTCAGGGATTTGAGGGAGAGCCTTGAGAAGTTGAAGATTTCAGATAATGAGAAGACAAAGAGACAAACAAGTGAGTGTATTTTTATCAAATTGTTAAATTGTTCTGTCTGGTAATTAGGATTTGAACTTAATTCGATAGTACTTAGTTAATTGAAGTTTGTTAAGTTACTTAGATGATTGATAAGAGGGTAGTTTTGTTGTTGTCATTGAGTTGGTATCTTTAATTCAATCCAATTGGACTCCTCAAATGTTGGAATGTGGTCCAATTTACAATTCATTATGACCATTCAACACTAGTTGAAAGTTTTGTTCTTGTCACGGTATATCATTTGACTGAAGTTTCATTGCAAGGGCTTTGAAACTTATGCTGTTTACATTATATTTTGTTTGCTGCTGAACGCCAGTTAAGGATTTTGAGTGAAAATGGAAGATGAAAATTGCAACTGTCAAAATCATGAAATTCATAAATCCAATGCAATTCAAAGAAAAATGAAAGACAAAATGATTAAGGGAAGTTCTATTGCTAGAGCAATATTGGAAATTTTTTAAGAACAAACTACAATTATTTGGAGCATTAAACAGTAGCACTTTGAATTGGAATTTACATTACTATGTTTATTCCATTCCTAGCAAATCTTTTATGTAGACAGAACCTTTGGTTAAAGGTTTGGAATGTCTTTTGGATGAGTGAATGTTTTAGGTTCTCTATAGTTTATGAAGACCGCAATATAGATGCAGAAGGAATCTACTTCAGATCTTTTATCTTCTTTTTTTTTCATTTAAGTTTAGAGGAAGGTCAATTTATTGAAGTAATTTTGAATTTTATTTTAATGGAAAGTTTCATGCATTGTTAAACTAGGAAAGTACTTGGTGTTGCACAGTTTTTCATCAATCATGGGTTTCTGAATTGAATTTATTATCTTCTGTGCACTGTTCTTTTCATTGTTAAATGAGCTTGAGCATTGAAGGCATCACAAAGCATGGTAAAATAAGAAGACACTTTCTTGCTTGCACAATTCTGGTCTTTTTTTAGATGAGCGTGAGCAATGGTCACATTACAAAGCTTCTTAGTTATCCCCCTTCTACAACCTGGTAGGGAATTAGGGAGCCCCCACAAGCATACAAGAATACTAGCTCAATCCATTAGGAAGAAACTCTAGAGTCCACAAACGTCATATTAAGACCCAACAAACATTATTTGGAACTCATAATCACTTAAAAGCTTAAGCATATAAGTGGGCCCATTTAATGTATATTAAGACTCATCTCTTTTATTCTTTATCCGATGTGGGACTCTACTTTCACACATGCTCTAACAATCTCCCCCTCATATGTGAACCAAACATTGGGCCTCTCCATGCTCCCCTTCGAGTCTTGATCTATCATCAATAAGTTTACCGTAGATCATTACACACTCCCCCTTAGTCTTGATCTATCATTAATAAGTTCATCGTAGATCATTACACACTGCCCCTTAATCTTGATTTATAACCTTCCAACATCGAGTCTAGCTTGGGCCACCTGCACATACTCCATTGTGAGCCGCCATACTCCATTGAGAGTCACCTTGTCGCGGTTCAACCTTACCACGTGCATCAGGAATTTTCTTTACTCCATCAAGAGTTATCATGGATTTTTCATGGTCTATCAAGAGTTTTTCTGCTAGCCCATGTATACTAACATCAATACTTCAGGAGAGACTCATAGATCGTCTATCATCGGCTCTAATACTAGTTGTTTGGGAATTAGGGAGCCCACAAGTGCATAGCAATACCGGCCCAATCCATTAGGGGAGAAACTCTAAAGTCCACAAACGTCATATCAAAGCTTAAGCTTATAAATGGAGAGCCCATCTAATATATATTAAGATTTATCTCTTTTACTCTTTATCTGGTGTGGGACTTCACACATACTCCAACAGAACCCACATTTAAATATATATATGTATATATTGATAATTAAATAAGCAAGGGCAGAAACAAACAGGGGTACACACCTTCCAAAACAATCCATATGAGAACTGACTCAATTATACAAACAAACTCTAATGGAGAAGAGAACTATACAAAAAAATAAAAGCAAGATGCAATAGTAGATACCATGCTAGCCAATTGACTTATAATAATGCTACGGTGACCAATGATTTGTTTACCATCTCATATGTCAATATTGCATTGATAGAAACGTGAGTGGTTCGGACCCATTAAACCAATATAATGTTGACACATAACATGAGGTGGTTAACAAATTGTGGTAAGAAAAGATGATCATCCTTGCATTATTGATTGGCTAAACCAAAAATCATGTCCGAACTATCTTCTGTTTTAGAATCCTTGTATAAATGTTCCATCATCATGATTAACAGTAAGCAGTATGTCACATGATATCCATCTGCTTGAGAAGGTTATATTATATTAAAGAATCTGTAGTTACGTAGAATTTGGACCGTTGTTGTCTACTAATTTAATAACGCATATAGGCATGAGTAGTTTCTAAGGTACATTTTTTTACATAATATATTTGTAATTTATTAAGTAGATTCACTGTTACAGTTCAGAGACTTGATATCTTGGGCCAGTTTGGTGGAACTCCAAACTTTATGCTTTCACCACCGAAGGAGCAGTTAGTTGAAAAGGCAAGTATTGCTTTTGTCTCCTAGTATCAATTTTAATATTCTTACTTTTTGAATGTTATATTAATTTCATTGGACGACTACAACTTCACGTCAACATGTAAGGTGGTCCCCATTCCATTGTTTGCTAATAAATACTCTTTAAATAATATCTTTATAGTATGACTCACTTTTTCGGACTCATACTTATCTAAAATGTGAGATGCATTGTCAGATGCCTAAATAAATCTTGGCCATAGCCATACCTCAACAGCTTTCAAATTTGACGCTCGAAAACCTTGAATGGATTTTTGATGCCTTAAAATTATTTGGAATACTCATTTATTGTTTAGCATGAAGTATACCTCTGTAAGGGTGAGCAAGTTTGTATGGCCAAAGTTTTGCTTCAAAAACTATGCATATAAAACTGTGTTTTTTGCTTCAGTAAATTAGTTTATGGTGGTCTGATACATTGCATTACAGTGAGTTCATATGATTTTTGAGGCAGTTTTTGCTTGGATGAAGAAAAAAGAAAGAAAAAGAATAAGAGTTAGAGATATTTTCAGCATGCATAATTTAGCGTCCATTTTGTGCTTCTTATCTTTCAAAGAGTCGTAGGGCACATTTGGCATTGTTTTTGTGAACTGATTTCAAACAGAAACTAATGCTGAAAACTGTTTTTGGAAGAAAAAAAAAAAGTCTAGAGTGCCTTATTTTTAGGAAACACTTTTAAGTTGTTTTATGAATTTTTGAAAATTGTTGTTACAGAAAATGAAAGTCATGGATGTTTTCAAACGTTTCATTATTTTAGTTTTTGAAAACATGAAAAACGAAAATGAAAATATTATAAATGAAAATGATACCAAACAAACCTTTATCTTCTCTTTGAAAAACTGGTCAGAAACACAGTTTATGTTATCTGTGTCTATCAATTATTTTTACATGAAGTTATTCAAGCTTTTCTCATATTTCTGTTTCAGTTTGTACCCTTGTGATGTTTAAATTTTTAATCTTGTTTTATATAGTATTTCCATCCAGATAACATGTCGTCCTCAGAGAAGCTGAAACTTGAGCTTCAGAAAGTCAGAGATGAATTTAAAATGTCAGAGTCAGATTGTGGATCTGCTCGCGTTCAAGGTAATACATTATAAACTTGTTTTTTCTCAAGGTTTTATGTCTGGGGAGGATTGCATATAATTTGTTGCATGGTGCGTTGAAAGCTTTACTAGCTGTTTACTAGTGAGTCTTGAAATTTTCTTTCGCATTGTCACATCCGGGAAACCTTGCTTTCATGCATTGGAAATTCCATATATCTATTAACCATTCTTGGTCTAAAGTTTCAATATAAGAATCTTTGTTTGTTAGGTCACCTTCATATTGCTTATGAATGGTAATCTGAAAATGTTGTCGTATAGGTACCGTGTACTTACCTGGTACAAGTAAGCGTACCGGATATGTGAAATACCTATCCGGTACAAGTACACGTACTAGATATGCAACATACCCATCCGGTACTTTTTGAAAGGTGAGTACGGCATGGGTACGAAGTGGGTACATTTCAGGTACTTTTATGGGTACATTGGGCATAATTATAATTTTTTTTACAAATATAGAGGTACTAGAATAACTATATTGTGTCTATTCTTTAAAACTTTAAAAATAATGTTTGTGCAATTATCACAAATCTTAATAATACTCAGGGTGCTATTTTGGCTTATTCTTCTCTCCGACTGCACCTCTTTCCATCTTCTCTGCATTTTCTCTCTTGGAATACACGTCTTTATCTCTGTTTTTTCTACACTCTGTCTATTATTCTTTGTTTTTTTAGTTGTTACTTGAATTATTTTCTACATTTGATTTTTCTAAATTATTATATATGACACACTACTACAAACTATAAACATATATATATATTTTTGGGCGTACGCTGCACCCGTATCCTACTTTTTATTTATTTATTAATTTATATGTCTTGCCATATCAACATACCCGTAACACATCCATACCCGCACACCCGTGCCTCCTAGCATATTGCAAAGGCTCTCAACACTTCATATATTTTGCTATGTTCTTCTACAGCAGTCGTAGGACATTGGAAATTGGAATAATCAACCAAGAGAGGGATGATATACTATTTTGAAGCATAGAACTTGAAATAAACAAAAAAAATTACTGAAAACTTCTTGTGGTTATCTTGTACCTTTAATTTGGCTTGTAGGGAACTACTTAATGGAGTGTAACATTTTGTTAAGCTGTGATTCTGTTTCCACAATCCATACCATGTTTGCCATGGGTTCATGTATAAATAATTACTCCTGAACTCTTATTTCGCAGTGGCACAACTGACAACAAAGATCAAACACCTGTCCACAGCTTTACACAAGAAGGTAACTATGTGGATCCATTCTCTATATTTCAGCACATTTTTCAGTATCCAATGGTTTAACAAAGAGGTCAATATATATATATATAAAGGTTTAACAAAGAGCATTTTATAAAAATGTTGTGGAAATGTTCATTGGTATTCTTGACCATGCTGTACATTGTTGCTATCTTTGATTTTTAAGTGATTGTTTTTTTCAAGAAGTGATGGTTATGGGTGGGATGTGGATAATTCATTGTTGAGTTGCCATTTGATGATAATTTTTAGTCTAGTGCTGTCTAATAAGAGCGTAAACAAAAGTAACTTCAAATTGCTTCACAAAGTAGAGCCTTGATTCTGGAGCAATATGGCCCACCATATCTTTTTGCTTTTAATATGTAGCCAAACATACACTAAGTAATTGCTAGCTAAGTAATTTAAGCATATTGAATTGTTGTACATATACCTTGTTCTTGTTGATTGATTCTTTTAAGCTCAGCACTAAAGATAAAATCTTAGATCAATAAAACAAATGGTAGAATGGCTTTTATAATAAAGTTGCCATTGCATGTTGTCTTGTTCCGTCAGAAGATAATATATTCAAATCTCATGTTTGCTTGTCATCCTGATGATGGTTTAAAACCTTCAATTATGATTATATTTCTGTGATTTTCTTTGTAGATATGTTGGTAAATGATCTGCTTCTGCAAATATTCTAATTAAATTCTACATCCTACATCCTAAATCATTCAATATGATTCTGCTGTAGCAATATATCATTCTAATCCTTATATGAATTTGATGATAATTTTTAGTCTAGTGCTGTCTAACTAGGAAGCACGGATACAGATACGGGATACGGATACGATACGATACGGATACGGCGATACGACAAAATTTGAAAAACTAGGATACGGGTACGGTGAGGATACGTTCGTAAAAAATATTATTTTAACAATTTTTAGTAATGCAGTATGCATAAAAATAAAACCTAAAGCAAAAGACAACTTGATAAAGAAGAAAGATTCTTATAAAACTAAGAGTTTTCAAGGTCAATAGCTTCAACTTGTTCCCCTTCATCAGTGAATATCACAAGACCTTAGCTAAAGCCAAAAAACCATTCTTAAATAAAAATTTCAGCAAACATACTTTTTAAAGTCATCAATGATAGCCTAGGAAGCATGGATACGGATATGATGATATGGGAATGTGGATATGGCGATATGTCAAAACTTGAAAAAGTATGATACGGGTACAGCGGGGATACATTCGTAAAAAAAAAAAAATTATAATTTTAATAATGTAATATGCATGAAAATAAAACTTAAGTAAATTAATAAATAAAGAGAGATTCCTATTAACCTAAAAGTGCTCAAACATTCATAAAACATCCAAAACTAAAAGCAAAAGCAAATGCAAATTAAACATCATCCTTACATGCCAACATCAAAAAAAGAATGAGAGCAGAGAGAAGAAACGTGAGAGAGTGAGAAAGCGAGAGAGAAGTGAGAGAGACAACAAGGATACATCAATTTGACATTTTATTACTTTAACTCTCACTATATTCCTCTTATCAAAGAACTAAACAAAATATTATAAGTAATATGTAACTTTGAGTATCTGATACTTCAAAATTAAGTATCCGATACTTCAAAGTTAATTAAGAAGTATCCGATACTTTTAAGAAGTATCCGATACGTATCCGCGAGTATCCGAGGAGTATCGGTATCCGATAAGTATCCGATACGGATACGTCACCCTTTTTAAAGTATCCGTGCTTCATAGCTGTCTAATAAGAGCGTAAACAAAACTAACTTCAAAATGCTTCACAAAGTAGAGCCTTGATTCTGGAGCAATTTGGCCCACCATATCTTTTTGCTTTTAATATGTAGCCAAACATACACTAATTGCTAGCTAAGTACTTTAAGCATATTGAATTGTGGTACATATGCCTTGTTCTTGTTGATTGATTCTTTTAAGCTCAGCACTAAAGATAAAATCTTAGATCAATAAAACTAATGGTAGAATGGCTTTTATAATAAAGTTGCCACTGCATGTTGTCTTGTTCCGTCAGAAGATAATATATTCAAATCTCATGTTTGCTTGTCATCCTGATGATGGTTTAAAACCTTCAATTATGATTATATTTCTGTGATTTTCTTTGTAGATATGTTGGTAAATGATCTGCTTCTGCAAATATTCTAATTAAATTCTACATCCTAAATCATTCAATATGATTCTGCTGTAGCAATATATCGTTCTAATCCTTAAATGAATTGCTCTTCGTATCCCCACATTCTTAGGTTTTTTCATGGATGTATCTTGATATCTCCTGATTTTTTAGTAATTTTGATGCAAGCCCAGTACTTAAATTCTGTTATAAACCTTGCTCTTCTTGTATTGCTGTTTCTGAAGTTTCCTTCTGCTTCTTACAAGATGCTATTTTTTATTTTGTCTATTTATTTATAATAGGACAAGCATTCTCGAAAGGGTCTTCAAGAAATGGTCCAAAGGAGGAAGAAGTTGTTGAAGTACCTACGAAGAACCGACTGGGATTCCTACAGCCTTGTGCTTTCTAAACTTGGTCTCAGGGACAACCCCAATTATAAGCACTAGATAAGCATGTAGCAAAAATCTGTTTTGTTTGCAATTGTGATTTTGAATTTATTCGATTCACAATATTTCTTCCATTTCGCTTTTTGGGAAGATAAAATTGGAGATGCTTTAATTAGTTTCCGACCCTATGACCTTTTTACTGAAAAATTAGTTGTAGTGTGATCTGTGCCCCTAACATAGTTTTTTAATAACCCATTATAGATCACAGATAAAATAACAGCCAAGTTGTAAGAAGGCAGGAATTGCTTGAGGAGCTGTCTAAAGATTGTCTAATGAATTTGTTTTAAGTTTTTAGCTTCATTTGCTGTGATGAATTAGTCTGGAATGATTTCTAATGTTTTTGAGATGTTGAACTCTTTGAAGAAGTTCAGGAAGGGCATTGATTGTTTCATTTGAAACTGTTATAAGTTGCATTTTTTCCTCCAAATCAGTAATATATATTAGTACCTAAGGATCATCTGGCAATCTTAACAATCTTTTCTCTATTGATTGATAACACACTTGCTGGACACAAAGTATTGGTTGAAGAATAACTGTATCAAGGAGGTGACATTTATTCGAAGAGCCACTGGAATGTTCCATTTGAGATCATAAAATTTGCTCATATAGATTGATGAGAGATGAGTTTTGCCTCATAAATTAGCAAATTAAAACATTGTTAATGCCATCTAAGTAATTTCTGGCCAGAGGACATTCTAGTGACAAACAACTTGGAAGTGGTGTTGTACAGGAAGTTGAGGCATACGTAGTGATTGTTTGTCTTATCCTAATTCTTACCTTTTGTAGTGATTGTCTTATCCTAATTCTTCCTTTGGGTAAACTACACTTTACTAATAAATTAATTTAAGTGTAATTTAAGTATGAGTTGGTGGATTTCACAGCATATATATATATATATTTTTTCCTACTTTGGTCTTTCATATTTTAAATTTAAGATTCGTTTGGAAAAGGAATTGAGTTTTTGACTTTTTAACTTTTTATCTATTTTAACATAGAGCTAAAAGTCTCGTTTAGAAAAGATTTTTTTAGCTTTTTTGACTTTTTATTAGAGAAAGAATGTAATAATTATGGGTTAAATGTGATGTTTTTGTCTTATTGAACTAAAAAACTTACTTTGTTTTTTTTGTGATTATTTTAGCCAAAAAATTCCAAACGAGCTCTATGAATAAAATTAGGCCTCGTTTGGTAATATCACTTTTTAATCTAAAAGTTAAGAAGTCACTAAAAAAATTAGAAAGTTAAAGATTTTATTATTTTTTTTGTATTTTTTGCACATCTTTTTTTATAAAAAATCAAAAAGTCATTCCAAACATATTAATTTTTTTTACATCATATAAGCATAAAGAAAAGAAAAGAGACATTCATATGGTGTTTATCAACCTTGAGAAAGCATATGACAGAGTGCCCCGGGATATAATATGGTGGGTGTTAGAGAAGAAAGTGGTGACAAAAGGTTACATTGACGTGATTAGGGACATGTATGAAGGGGTGGTGACCACTATTTACATCGCCAGCTGGAGAGACAAATGAATTTCCTATCACTGTAGGGTTACACCAAGGATCTACCTTAAGTCCTTATCTTTTTGCTTTAGTTATGGACGAGTTGACGATAAATATTCAGGATGACGTGCCATGGTGGTTGCTTTTTGCAGACGATATTGTGCTAGTGGATGAGCCTAGAGAAGGAGTTAACACAAAGTTAGAGATTTGGAGAAAAGCTCTTGAATTTAAAGGATTCCGAATAATGAAGTGTAAATTTAGTAACAGTAACAATGAAAGCAGAGGAGAAGTGGAGATTGAGAACCAAGAATTGCCTAAGAGTGAACACTTTCGTTATCTAGGGTCGATTATCACAACAGCGGGAGAGATTGATGCAGATGTAGCCCATAGGATTAAGGCAGGATGGTGTAAGTGGAGAAATGCGTTTGGGGTATTGTGCGATAAACGAATACCCACTAGACTAAAAGGTAAGTTTTATAGAACGGCTATTAGACCAGCTATGTTGTATGGGACGAAGTGTTGGGCAACCAAGAAACAACATGTAGATAAGATGAGTGTGGCTGAGATGCGGATGCTAAGGTGGATGTGTGGTAAGACTAGACAAGACAGGATTAGGAATGAGTGCATTCGAGAATGGGTAAGAGTAGCACCGATAGAAGATGAGTTGAAAGAGAATCGTTTGAGATGGTTTGGTCATATTCAACGGAGACCAACAGAGGCAGTAGTAAAGAGATGCAATGCTGTAACGGTAGATGGAAGTGTTAGGGGACGGGGTAGGCCTAGATTAACGTTGACTAGCGTTTTAAATAGAGATATGAGTCTACTTAATTTAACTAATGAAATGGCCTTTGATAGGGCCGCGTGGAGAAGAAGGATTCATGTAGCCGACCCCATTTGATGGGACTTAAGGCTTGGTTTGGTTTGGTTTGGTTTATAAGAATAAATCCTCTCCTAAACTGGTCCAATTATTTAACAGGATTTTTAATCAGGAACAGATTCAGAATTTAAACTTTAGAGGATAAAAATATATGTAACTTTTTATCAAAAATAAGTATTGTAAATTTTAACAGGAAAATGTATATATAAACTAACTTTAGAGCATTTTGTTTCCACTAACTTTTTTATTTTTTAAAAAGTTATTAAAAAAGTCTGTTCCAAACAAGGCCATAATTTAAATTTAAAATTAGACAAAAATATCACGACAATTGTTATATAATATAGAAAATATATTATTATATTGAAAATTTGAGTTTGTGTTAAATGTGTGAATTATATGTAACAAAATATTTTTATATCACGTGATTGTCAATGTGTCATTTTTATCTAATTTTTAAGCCTTGTTTGGCATCTACTGTATAATCCATCTTTTTATCTTTTTTCCATCACATCACCTCTCTATTTTTCTGCATATCTTTTAATAAAAAGATAAAAAAATACATTTTTTTAGAACACTCCAAACAAATCCTAAATTTATTAGACTATAACTGGTTTCCAAACAAATGCGATAAAAAAAAAAAAAATCTAAGTTTACGTGTTTCAAACTGTTTGGAACTTACCAGAGAGAGAGAGAGAATGATCGCTCCATCGCTTTGATTTTGTTGCGAATGTTTGGATAATCATCAAATTCAAATGGTGATGTAATTAATGATAAGTTACTTTACGGTTGTCGAGTTTGCATATTGCCACGTTGAAAGCCGATTATGTCGGTAAATTTCTGTAAATTAAAAGTTGGCCATTGGGGAAACACTATGGTGGTGCATTAGCGGTAGATAGACGTTGGGCGGAGCCGGATTCGGATGAGATCGACATTACATAATAAAAAATTTTGTTTCTGTTCAAGTTTGATGCAATCTTATATAGGATCTCTATATCTATCCAAATTTGATTTAAAAAATAATTATGAATCTCAAATCCACCCATCAAGTTATATGTTTGAAAAAAAATTTAAAAAATTAAAAATTAAATTGAATCACGCATTATATTTATTAAATAAATATATTATCATCATTATAAATTAAAAGATTTTGTGCATAAATTAAATAATTTCTTAAATCAATTCAATCACATATCACCATAAATGTGAGTTCCAATAAAATCAATAAGGATAAATTACAAATAAACTCCTTGAGATTTGATTAAAATATGAATCGCTCTCTGTGATTTTGAAAATTACATTTCACCCCTGAGATTTCTAATTTCATAACAAATTGCCCATTTTATTAATAAATCATCAAATCAATTAACAGTTTTTAATGATATTAGAAATATATTTCAATTAATAATTTAGGTAATTTTATTATTGTATAGGAAAGCAATTGTGAATTTCATTCTTTTAGTTAATTTTGTTAAATAAAAAATGCTAACAATGAGTTATTTGTAATTTTTCAAACCACAGGGGACAATCTGTACTTTAAACAAACTTTAGGAGGTGTATTTGTAATTTACCTAATCAATTAAGATAAATCTAGATCTCAACAAAAAAAATATATATTTTAATGTATTATAAATAAATAATTAATTTAATAACGACCGGGTTGAGCTGGATTGAAAGTATATATTCCAAACCCAATCAATTAATATTTCGGGTTGAAATTATTGGCCTACCCCCAGCCATATGGGCTAAAACAACCTTCCCAAATCTTAGAAAAATAGGATTGAGTCAAGCGGGCCAAGCTGGCCAACGGGTTGATGTCCACCCCTAATATGCACCGTACGCTCTGTATAACTAAAAAAAATGACATAATTTTAGTTTTCTGAATCATAATTAAAAAAAAAATGTCATAACTAAATACAATATGAGGTATAACTAAAGAACTCATGAGTTATAACTAAAATAATATCATAACTAAAAAATAAAATTAGCCATAACTAAAGAAGAAAATGACATAACTAAGAGTGCATATGGTATATCCATTTTAAAAGGGCGTATATTAGAATTTCCTTGGTCATTGACTTATTTGTTAAAAGTTATCAAAACACTTCTCTACTTCTTTTCACAAAAAATAAAATAAGTCCCTAAATAAATTATACCCAAACCAACCCTTAATACTTCTTAAGGAACTGTCTAGATGTATTCAAAGTTGATTTGAAAATAGATTAGTTTAGTAATTTTTTAGATTTTTAGATAAAATAGGAGATGAAAAAGACTAGCATATTTAGGATACTTTTTTTTTATAGCTTTTTACAGAAAAAAAAAATAGAAAGAAAATGAAAATTTTACTTTTTTTATATAATTTTTTAACTTTTTTAATAACTTTTTAATGAATTTCAAAACCAAGCCTCAATATCAATTAATCAATAATAATAAAAAAAGAACAATCTCAAAATTTGACATGGGATGAATTTGGGACGTAAACAAAAAATCATTAAAAAGAAGTCAAAATTTGTTTCTTATTTTTTCTACTTTTTATATAATTTTTTCATAAAAACTCAAAAAATCATTCATAAATATTTTTTTCACCTCATATTTTAGTTAAAAAAATACTAAAAAAACACTTCCCAAACCAACCTAACCGACCCATAATTACACTAATTTTTTTAGTAAAATTAAAAGGCTCAAAACTTATGTAGACGGTGTAAAAATATAAAAATAAATAAAATAAAAAATATATTTTGATATAATTGAAATGACATAATTATTTATTTATTTATACCCAATATAATTATGTTAAATTGATTAGAGATATGTATGAAGGTGTGGTGACTACTATTAGATCGCCTGTTGGAGAGACAAATAAATTTTCAATTACTATAGGGTTACACCAAGAATCAACTTTGAGTCTTTATCTTTTTACTTTAGTTAATGATGAGTTGA